AACAGTAAATCACGTTAAGAATTGAAGAAATTTCGGCTATAAACTGATATTAATCAGCAGCTTTTTAATTGGTCAGATGTCACTGGGTCATAAAATGTTGTTAGAGTATGTTACCGCAACTTGTGACCCTCTCTGGTGCGATATTTGTGTATTATGCAATTATTTAGCGTGAAACGTAGGGGTCCGAGAGAGAACAGCCGATTTATGACACTTCGTTTGATGCGGGTCGGACTAACTTTGAATCGGCATAACTTTTTTAATAATCAAGCAATTAACATGCGGTTTAAAGCACATGAAAGGAAATTCATTTACGGAGGGAACCGTGTCAGGGATTTTTGTTTGCTCAATCAGCGACTTAATTATCTTTAATTACGTAATATGTATGGTGAAAAAAGTCGCATAAAATGTTTGACGTTACGTAATATTTTTTTGAGAAAAGATAGAAAAAATTTGAGACACGGTTCCCCAGATAATATACGTAAGGTTATTTTCCAAAAGTTTGATGACAAAAAAATAAAAAATGACTTTGATATGACGATTTAAAATTTTAGGATTTTTATTCAAAATCAATCATTTACAAAAGCATTTTTTTCAAATATGTTATTTTTTATGCTGATCAGCGACATTTAATGCATAAAGATTAAATAAATAACAATTATTACTAAAATAACTTGGTTTAAATTACATTTATGTGAGTACCACGGAAAGTGTCTGTTGTCACCTTAAGTATATATAGATCTAGTCAAGATTTAACCTATTCAGCTACCAGTATTTATCTGATTCGGATTAAAGCTTTTTTATTTATTTTTTTTTCAAAATACTATTGTCAGTAGGTATCGATAGTGTATTCCACTTTACTGTAGTTATATCAACTTTAATTTGATGGTGTTAATTTTTCCAAGTCTTAAATATGTCCTCTTTTTATTTCATGGTTAGATACCGATATCTTAAACAACATTTCATGATAAAACTGATCAATTTAATCGGTGCATTTGAACACGTTTATCATATCTCCATGTTGGTGTCTGTATTCAAAAGTTGTAAAATTTAATTTACAAAATCTCTGTTCAGCTGATAGTCAGCTACATTATTATGTATTATTCGTGTGGTTCTTCTTCATCATTTCTTTTAATACTTTTCTTGGACGCTTACATTTTACAAGCACCTTTATCAATAATAAATGCACCGTGTTCCTTATTATTTAGATCAGTCTCACAAAATTCCAGCAAAATAATATACAAAGTGGAAAAATATTCCTATAGTTTCAGAAATTATAAATATTTACAATTCGTTCAATATATTGTTCAAAAATGTTTGCAATAAAATTAACATTTCGCTACCTTAGTGAAGTAATGAGTATACTCCTATTAATTGGAACTTAATTGGAGTGAACACATAACAGCACGGGCACTAAGGTGATGATTTATAATAAAAAAATCGACCCAATTCAATACAATCGAAGTAAGAATGAAAACGTTTCCATATTTTGGCATGGTATTTCTGTGAATTGTAAATGGCTAAAGCTAAGTTAAATAATTTTGACCAAATTTGTTTGCCCATTAGACCATTTTCTTTTTCAAGTTTTCATAAAAGTTAACAAAATCGGAAGATGTGCTGCTTTAATAATTAAGCCACTTGCACCTGCACGTAGTGTTACTGTTTCATGTATTTTGTCGGTGTAACCCTCTACGCGAGGGGTTTAAATTTGATAGAAAAGGAAAATAGAGATCCTTGGTACTCAACATGATAATCGGTCTATGTTTTCCTGCCACATATCTCTAAGTATTGATATTTTAACCCTTCTTAGGAAATTAACAACTAAAATATTAAAAAATTTATGGCCATATTCATGAGTATTGTAAGAAAGATTTTTTCGGCTTTATTCCGCAAGTATTCCTTTCGCATTTATATGTTGTTTCTCATGTTTTAATATTATGTAACATTTTAAAGCCTATTTTTGCAAGGGGGCGATTTGGTTTGAGGCCGAAATGTCCTGTTTGCTAACTACTTGTGTAACAGGATTACCACCCGTTTTTACCAAGATTTTTTTGTTAAATTATTTTTCAACAGATAGTACAAAGAAACAAGTATAAGGTTCAACAATTCTGTATTTATCATCTTATTAATAGTCTATTTTTAATCTAAAGTTGCAGGTAATTCACAACTTACAAATAAAACTCAACAACGATATGATATTTTAACTAATTAACATGCCACATTTTTGAAGTATTAAATTGACAATGATTTTTACCTTTTTAAGATTTAGAAACACTGGCCAAAAATTTGAAATAATTCCCTTATTTTTATATTCAAAATGGCTAAGTTCTAACAAGAGGTAAGATGTACCTTGCAAGTGTCTGTGAACCAGAGGCTAAATTGAGCATTTTCGGTCAATTTATACCCTTTTCATACCAAAAATGCATGAAAATTCCGTGCAAATATTTAACACATATTGAGGAGATTTACAAAAGTAGCTACTCATTTAAATTATAACTGTCTGATATATCATGTAAACAGTTTAGTTAATCTAAACAAAATGAAGTACAATACTTATTTATTAACCCTTGATAGTAAAATGACTGTATATAATAAAGATGCATGAATGATTTCAACATGTAATTTAGTACCGTAGTAAAGAAATAAATCTGTAAAATAGTTTACTACCATATTAAGTCTAAAATGAAGTATTATAAAAGATATAAAAGAATCGTATAAAATGCCGGCAAAATTGTATAAGATGCATACGGCTCATCAAAATGTAAATTATTTCAGAAACAAAAGCTTTTTTATCCTACCATTGACATAGATCTAATATATCCTTGTGCCCCATCTTAGTTTAATACGGATAAACTAATATTTATAATCATTCATTATGAAAGTCAAATATTTACGTTACTGATAATGAATATCAATAAAATATGGTTAATTATTTCTATATTTTCAACCATAAAACTAATGATAACATGATATTGACTGGAATCACAGGGCTATATCTAAATAAAATCAATAATTCTACAGAGTTAAAAAAAAAATAATAATTTTGGAACTTTGAAGAATTATTGATTTAAGCAGACACTTTTATTTAATTAATCAATATTTTAGAAAATGCTTTAAAAAATCAACACCAAAATATTCATATCAATAAAAATCATGTAATGATAACGAAATCTGAATTACTATTTTTTTCCTTCTTCAATCGCTTCAATTTTAACATTGAATCTTTATCATCTTAAATAACTTCATATCATCTAAGAGATACATGTATTTGGACATTTTCTCCACACAAGTTTGAATGCTTGTATATTATACATTTAATTGATTGACATTGTTGGCTCTGTAGATGTAACGTAGACTTACTTACAAGATGTTATAAGAATTAATACTAGTAAAGGGCTATACACAGGTATGGCGATGCTTGACTTGCAAAAGGCGTTTGACACCGTAGACCATGATATTCTTAGTGGAAAGTTAGAATTAATGGTTGTTCAGTCTATTTCCTGGTTAAGATAATATCTTTCAGAACGTTCACAAATTGTTACTCTAAATCAAACAGTGTGACCTGTGGCGTCCCCCAAGGTAGTATTCTAGGGCCGTTGCCTTTTCTGTGCTACGTAAATGATATGATTTTAAGTATTGATAATGATTGCAAGTTAATACTGTATGCAGATGACAGCACTATTTTATTCTCACATAAAGACCCGAATTTCATCTCGGAAAAACTTGGGACAGCCCTAAAAAGCTGTTCAGAATGGCTCGTAGACAATAAGCTGTCACTCCACCTTGGTAAGACAGAATGTATGCTGTTTGGCCCCAAAAGAAAATTACGAAAGCAAGAACAATTTACTGTTACATGTAATGGTCATAGCATAAAGGGTACTAATTTAGTCAAGTATCTTAGTCTATATATCAATAGTGATTTATCTGGGGAAACTATTGTTAATAACATTATTTCTGAAGTGAATATCAAGCTCAAATTTTTATACAGGCAGAGCAGACTTTTAGATACTAAAACAAAACAGCTTTTATGTTCAGCCCTGATTCAGTGTCATTTTGACTACTCTTGTTCCTCTTGGTATGAAGGTTTATCAAAACATTTGAAAAGAAAGTTACAAATTACTCAGAATAAGGTATTAAGATTTGTCCAAAACTTAACGCCTAGAACTTCTGTAACAGTGTATGAGTTTGAAAAATTTAATTGGTTAAATATAGAAAACAGAGTCAAACAGTTAAGACTCAATCATATGTATAAGATTTTTTACAAAAAGAGTCCATCATACCTAAAAGCCGACTTTAGATGTTGTGCTGATGCAAGATTTTAGAATACTAGATCAAGCAATTTTAATTTTATTGTCCCCCAGTGTAATTCTGTGATGAAACAGACCTTTTATTATAATGGAATTAAAGACTGGAATGATCTGCCAGAATATATAAAATCCATTAATAATTTTGTGCAATACAAAAAATCTGTTAAAAAGTACCTACTAGAAAGTTATAAAAGTCTTTCAGAAGATATATATGTGTACAACTAATGTGTTAGGCACTGTGATCAAATATTTCTGTGATAGTAATACTAGGCTTATTTTAAAAAGGGCATACTTTTATAAATATATTTCCTTTTTCAACCAAAATTTTGACCAACGTTAGTTAGTTTAGTTTTTATCTTGTTGTTTTTTTTAGGGGGGAAAGGGTTAAAATTATGTTTTTTTTTGTTTTTTTTTATTTCTATGGACCCCATTGGAAATAAGCATTTAGCTTAATGGGCTATCCATAGGTGCATAGTACCTTTTATTTTATTTTTTATGACAAAAGTGTGCTCTTTTATGCTGTTTAATGATCTCATTTTATATATATGATTTATATATGTTATCTCTTAACTGTATGATTTTATAATTTGTATCATGTGCTATGTTCCTAAAATGTATAAAATAAAAAAAATAAAAAAAAATAAAAAAAATAAACGTAGACCGGAGAACGGTCCAGAAACTGTCGATTAGTTTTAGTACGGCACATTCACGGATACAAGATACGCCAAACAAAAATGGCGTCTGTTAAGGCCGTACAAGGTCTCAAACATGTAAAACCCATCTTATCAGCCGACCACAGTGAGGCCAGAAAAAGGGTTTTAAGTTTATATCGGGCATGGTACAGACAAGCAGAATTAGTGGGTATGTGGATTAAAACATTCAGATGTTTGCATTTTATGGTTTCTTTACAGTTTTATGTCAATTCGGTCTAAGACTTTTCGACCCAGACATATTAAATACAAATTTAGCCAACCAATTTCCTTCTTCAAGTTCTTGGGCAACACTAAACTTTTGAAATAAGGCTTTGCATGGATCGACCTATCTAGCGGTCCTTCCGTCCTACGACCTGTGTATTGGCAGTGTTATTTATGTTGTTCATATCAAAAGTGTTTATGGTGTATTACCAGAACTGTCATTGATTCAGTGCAAAGCATATTGACAATACAGTACAGCTTTAACAATTTTTCCAAAGTCCGCCCATCCCTGCATTTTTTTTTACAGATGGATTGTCAATCCGACGTCCCTGCGACAGGTGTGACTTTCCGCTCATCACCTGATCGGGTGAAATTTCAATAATTTGTGCTGCAGGATATCATCACAGTGGATCACTGTGAAATATTGCAGAGACATTTTGCTCTTTTGGGTGATTCTTTATCAATGTATAATTTAAATTTTACTTGCTTGCATACCATGTAACTCCCAACTCCTACCACTATGCCAGGTGGATAGAAATTGGTAACCATTCATTTAACTACCTTGCAACTCACAAAGTGGCCATTTCAGAACAAGTCCCATGAGAAACATTCATCCCTCAATTAACGCTCCCCGTGGGGCTTAAACTTTCGATCTCACGATCTGGAGGCGGACGTCATTGACCCCTAAGCAAATGGTACCAGGGCAATATTTATCACGGCGAATCTGTGTGATTTTGCAGGGATTTTTTTTACTCATTTTCTGTGATTTGCCACTGTGACTGACCATAATATGTCCCTCGCTACTGTACATCAATATCAGATGACAAAAATCAGCATTACACCTAAATATCAATGAATAGTTGAATACCCCTTATTTCTTGTATATTATAAACTTTCATACCTATTAATATATTTTTGGTAAAATACATACTACAAGTACATGTATGTTCTGTTCATACAAATGTGTTGTGCCTGTTAATAATTGTCCTTGCATAATTTTTTTTTCTGACCATCACTGGTATGAAATGTGTCCATTATCTAACAACAGCTTAGTGTTAGACATGGCCACCTGCTTTTGAATTTGTTTGGGGTTAATTGTCAGATTTTATACACATTTATGGATTTAAATGATTAATAAAAATTATTGATTTTTTCAAATTATCGATTTATTGATCAACAGAAAAATACCAGTGATACAAGTAACATTGATATCGTCTCTGTCGATAACAGCTGTTATACGATATACATTCAGGTAGAACTGTTTTCGAATTAATGATGCAGTGCAAGCATATCACTTATATATTGGTAACACTATCAGATAACAAATATTGAAGATACACTGACAATCAGGTCTAGGATTTCAATATATTAACAGACAGTCCATAATGCATAAATTGTTAATGTAAAAAATCAATAAAACTAGTTTAACAACTCATTTACATTCAAGTATAGTTACATAAAAAAGATAAAAAAAATCCATATCATGCAATAATTATATGACATGATCATAAGAGTTCTATTTATTAGAATAATAGTTCAACATTCTGTATCCTGTGGTTGAAGACTAATGAAAGCTATAATCCCTATTCTTACATAATTTGTTATATTTGCACTGTCTATTTTCCAGTTGCTGACTATGACCTTACAGTTACTGTAGCGGAATGCAGAGCCAAAGTTCGAGAGAATTTTGAAAAGAATCGCAACGTAACAGATGTCAGGGTGATAGACATGTTGTTCATAAAGGTATGATAGAGATAAATTTACATGATAATCATTTGGAAATACCTCAGCATTCCTATAAAGGCTACTTATCTGTTATATGCTAATTAGCAAGAGGAATAATACGACATCCTGCATTGTCAAATGAAATCAGGACATGTATGATTTTATCTGTTTACGGTATAGCAAATGATTAGGGGTTGCCACAAAATTCCCATATCAAAATATATATATAGAGCAAAAAAAAGCCATAGAATACAAAAGGGGCTTATGTTTTAGTTTATAAGAACTAAACATTTTGCATTTGATGTCCAGTGACAATTTAATTTTGATGTAGAAAAAATACAAATACCTTAAGTGGTTTTAACAGTAAACACAAAATGATTAAATCAAGTAAAATGCTGTGTTTAGAGCATTGGTTATTATTGTTATAATTTAAAATAGGAAAAAGTTGGTATGTAATTGAGAGCATAGATTTTGTAACACATTATTGTTTGAAGTGTGATAAAGATGGTCAAGCACTTGAATAAAGCTTTAATAGGGACAGAAGTCACAGTAATATCTTGCTATTTTTGGATGAAACTTTGTTTAAACTAGAGGAGGTACAAAAATGTATATTATAAAAGGATAATTGTTTAGATCTATTATTTGTACGTGGCTCTCATGTATTTTATGAAAAACAGATCAATTACTTTTGGCACTATTGTGCCTTGTGAGTTTTTAGCCTAGTAAAATCCATTCAAGTTAAATATAAAACTAAATTGAAGAAGCCTGTATCATCTAAGGTCATAAATGAATTTGTGAAGGTCATTGTTAATGAAATAGAATCAGTGAAATTTAATTCTAACAGTCATGCGATTATTGATGTCATGTTTATACATTTGAAGGTTAATATGCTGTAACAATGTTTTGTTTTCCACTTCTAACTTTTTCATAAGCAGATCACCAGAAGCGTGCTTTTATTACTTAAATAGAGATTGTCAAGTTTTTGTTACATTATACAGAGCCTTATACATGTAGTTATAGTTTAGTCTTCTGATTTTCAATGGTTAAAATGTCTTGCAGTCTTTCTGTTGCCTGTCAAAAAAGTATGTTATAAATTAATTGTAATTCTTATGTTATACATATAGATAAATTGTAATTCTTAAAATATAATGTTTTATGGAATCAAAGCTGGAGAATCCTGTATGTTGTAATTAAGGTTGTAATCACACTTAAGTGAAATTTTATATACATGTATGTATGTAAATTATGCTTCTAAAACAATTTTCAAACATCAAAGAATATGTAAAATATGTAGTGCTGTTATTATGCTGTTCACATGTGGTATTATATAGCCAAGTTTAAAAACATTGTGTATTTTTCAGGGTCAACACGAACTTGAGGAGACCAAAAATATATGGAAACAGAAGAATCATGTTATGAATTATTTCAACCAAACAGTCAACCCCAAACCTGCCGACTTCTTTTCCAAATTTCTTGAAGGTCATGAACCATGAATGTTATTTATTTATATAAAAATTTACAGTGAAGTCTTTTGTATGAGCACCATCTTATTTCTAGAATTTTCTTATAAGAACTGTATGAAGTAAAGATATTTGATATTAGATTATTTAGAAATATGAACATTTTGTCAAATATATATATGTTTAAATAAAAGTTTTAAAAGAGAGTTATTTTCTTTTTAAATAGTTTTGAGGATTTGTAACACATGCTATCACTGTTCATATAGCTTGTTCTTTGAAAAAATTGATACATGTATGTAGCAAGATAAGATTAAAATTGTATGTCTCAAAAGCTAATTGTTTTTAGCTCACCTTGGTCAGGATGTTTGTCCTTGTGATGTCTCAGAGTAAGATAAGTTCCAATGATGAAAAACTAGGTCACAGGAGTGAAAAATTGAAATTTCCGGTTAATGCTCTAGGATTTACTGTTTCGGTCCAAATATCCGGGAAATTGGTCAGAAAGGTTGCTGCAATGATTTCTAGCTCAAGTTTAAATATGGGTCACCTGGGGTCAAAAACTAGGTCACAGTTCAAGTATGGAAAAACACTTGAGAGGCTATTGCTTCAGTTCAAATATCCTGGAAATTGGCCAGAAAGGTTGTTTAGATGATTTCTAGCTCAAGTTTGAATATGGGTCATTTTGGGTAAAAAGCAAGGTCACATAAACCAAATATTTAAAAACTTTGTAAGCGCTCTAGAGGAAACATTTTAGTCCAAATAAAATTTGTCAGATGATTATTAGGACAAGTTCAAATATTGATCATCAGGGATAAAAAAACTAGATAACGAAGCCCATATAAGGAAAAACTTAAGACTCTGTAGGTAACATTTCAGTCTAACTGTCCTTAAAATTGGTCAAAAAGGTTGTTTAGATGATGTCTGGCTCAAGTTCGAATATTGGTCATCTTGGTCATCAAAATAACTAGATCACATAGTTTAAATATGGAAAAACCAAATAACTAGATAACATAGTTTAAATATGGAAAAACCTTGTTTACACTTAATATACAGCCCAAATATCTTGGAATTATTAAAGAGTGATTGATGCATGGTTTATAAGAGCTAAAGTTTGAATACGAGTCACCTGGGGTGAAAATCTATGTGACACAGTCCAAATAAAGACCCCCCCCCCAAAAAAAAAACAACAAAAAAACAAAAAGAAAAAACAAAAAAAACAACAACAAAAAAACAAAACTGGGTCACATAGCCAATATATGGAAACTTTGTTAATACTATACATGTAATGTATTTACCCCCAATATCCTGAAAGTTTGTCACAAAGGTTGTTTATATGATTTCTAGCTCATATTCGTATATGGGTCATCTAGTGTCAAACTAGTAGACACAGTCCAAATATGGTAAAAACCTTGTTTACATTTGCACTTTTTCAAATGCTGACATGAATGCTATGATATGATTAATATTAAGACATTATATCTGCTTTTCATTCACAGTTAACAATATTAATTATTCCTTGTCATTAAAAACATTAAGGTGCGCGATATAAGGGCTGCCATGACCCTCTTGTTTTCGATTCTGTTATGTGAGGAAGCTATCCACCTAGCTGACAGAAGTCCGTCGTTCTAATGCTCCTGTGGAAATAATGCACGGACATGTAAAACCAAGTGTAAAGATGTTTTTTTTCCTTTTAAGAAAGGATGGACTTAGGAAAATCAAGAAATTCCCATATCAGCAAATTACTTTAGTATGTCTCACTCGTCTAAATTCAACAAATTTGTCCTGGAAAACGGGGTGTCTCAAATACTTG